TTCCACTTCGTCGGCCACCTCAACCCGACCGAGCTCGACAGGTAGTAAGAATACATGACAACGTGCACGCTCGCGTTGGTAACCAACGCGACGGGCATCAGCGACTGGCGAGTTCTGAGCCAGACGTAGCACATGAGGATGACGACGGAGTGGTGGTAGACGTGCAGGAAGGTTATGGGCTTGGTCTTTCGGGGGTTGGTGAGGACGAAGAAGGTGTCGAGGAGCTCGTAGACCCTTGGAGAGGTAGAAGACGTAGCCCAGAAGAAGACGCGGCCGGGAGGGGCGGGGGTTTGGTTGAGGGGGGAAGCAGAAGACGTGGGAGAGGTGAGGGGAGGTGAGGAGGGAGGAGAGGAGGTGAGAGAGGGAGAGGACGAGGGAGCAGGAGGAGGCAGGATGCGAAGTTGGTGGAGGGAGGAGAGGAGGTGAAGCAGGTGGAGGGGCGAGAGCGTGACCGCGCGGGTAGCGGTGGAGAGGAGGTGTGAGGGAGCAGTTTAGCTGTGGAGGATCGTCGAGATGAGGAAAGTGGGGGAGGAGAGGGGGCGAGGGCAGGGGCGAACAAGGTCTAGTTGTGGAAGATGGTGGGTGGGACGCCGTGTAGTAGTAGTGAGGTGCACTGAAAGAGGGAGGGGGGGGGGAGGCGGACATTTTGCGGATTGGGTTGTTGATGAGGGATTGGGGGGAACTGATGAGGGTGTTTTATTGCTGCTTCCTTTTTGGTATGGGGGTGCCTTTTTGGCGTTATTGAGAAAATATTATGTAGATAGTCTTAGGGGGTGTTTGGTTCAATTTCTATTAAATTATAAGAAATATTTTCCACCTAAAATATGATTTAGGGGGTGTTTGGTTCAATTTCTATTAAATTATAAGAAATATTTTCCACCTAAAATATGATTTGCTTGTATTTCTTAAAAAAATTATAGGAAAAATTTTGAGAAGTCAAAAAGTAACAATTTTCTTATTTTTTATACTTTGCTTGGTTGGTTCAAAACAAGAAAATGACTCATAACTTTATAGAAAATGTGTATGAGACGGATTTTGTTGATTAAATAAGGAAGGTGTCAGATTTCCTGTTGATTTCCTCTCATTTTGAGAGGAAATTGCTTTTTGTAAAATTTGGTAGTTTTTGATATTTTATAGAAAATATTTCTATAAATTTTTTGTTGAACCAAACACAATTTACAGAAATCTATAGAAAACTTTTAATTACAAAATTACCATTGTCAGATATTTTTAGAAAAGTTTTCTCAAAAAGTGTGCAGCCAAACAGCCCCTAAGGGGGATTTACTTTCTTGGTACATCTTTTCCAGAATGATTGCAATGTTCTCTAAATATAGCTATTTATTTAAAAGGCTTTTTTCTTAAGGAAAACCACCTTTACAATAGGTCAAATCTGTAGGAACAACCTTTAAATTCTTTTTTTAACCTCTTTTATTTAAATACAGGAACCATCCTATAACTAGGCGTAGCTTTCAATCAACTACCTCAGGATGATTTCTGTTTTGATCCTAATTATCGAAAATAACATTCTTCCTTCTCTCTTCTCCTTATTCACCCTAACTATCGTCACTCATCTCCATCCTCATCCCTTCTCTCTTCTCATCCGCCCAACCCCCGTCTTCATCCTTCTCCGTGCAAACCATGGTCCAGATAGAGGAGGAGGAGGGAGGAGAGTGAGGTGGATTGGAATACAAGGAAATGAAGATTGGTGTAAGAGGAGGAAGGAAGGTGGAAGTGGAATGGAGAAGGGAGGAAGAGGGAAGAGATGCGCAGAGGAGAGAAGAGGGTAGATGGAAGGGGGAAGGAGCATGATTGGAGGAGGAGGAGGGTGGTGGTGGGCGGAGGAGGGAGAGTTTAAGGAGGATGAAGATGGGACAAGGGTATTTTGGGTATTTTGAATAAATACTAAATAGAAATTGTTCTGAATGGTTGATTGAAAAGTAAACCTAGTTATAAGCTGGTTTCTTTATTAAAAAAAAACTTTGAAGGTGGTTTCGATCTATTTGACCTATTTAAAGATGGTTTTCATGAAAAATACCATATTTAAAAAAGATAAAAATTCCTTTTCATTACTACACAAAGTGAATCTGCAAATCCTATTAATGAAATAATAAAAATTTAGAACATATTACTGATTTTTAATTAAAAAAAAAAAGACACAAATCTGACCTACTTACAAAAATACTTAAGTCAATAAAATTTATGAAGGAATGTTCCAATACCAACACTTTCTTTATAATTTTTGATTTGTAAAGTTATAATCCAAAGTTAGCGGTAATTTGGAGATAGAGAGAAACAAAAACAAAAATGACATATATATGTTATTTTACCTTCTTATAGTGCTCCCTTTTGGTTCTCGATAATAGTTTTATTGACAACTGGATATTGTTACTTTACGATATAAACGTTAGAAAGTACAAGGGGAAGACATTAGAAAGTTAGACATAATTCATAATGTAATAACATATTTTACATCAATCAGAAATAATGTCATCATAACTAACATCAAATAATTATTATGTAAATCCAGCTCCTTCAGCCTTGTATCTTTCTTCTTTGTATTATGCTTGTGGAACAATGTAGCCTAAAAACAATTTTAAAAAAATATAAGCCAACAGTCATAAATATATTACAAAATATTATGAAGATCTCCTATGCATGTTATGAATATTTAGAAGAAAGTTATGAAGAAGTACATTTTCTTACAATTAAACTTTAAAACTTTTTCATTATGTCATAACTATGGTATTATTATGGGCGTTAAATGACTATTGGAAGGAAAAAAATACATTTAGCGAACAATATCAGATATCAAAAAAGATCCTATCAGAACCACCCCTACAGGAGTGTGATGATCTACCTCATTACTAGAGGAGTTATAATTTTCAAAGTAACCCTCTAATCATCATGAATGGCATAGATCACATCTTTCTATTGGGTAAAAGTTGCATTCATTGCTGAATTCATTATAATATTAATCGTTTACAAAGAATTCGAATTTTAACAAAGAAAATGAAAGATTACAACTTTCTCGAAATAACGCAAGATCCGTTCGTCGTTTCTTGCTTGTGTGGGTCTTTAGCCGGTGACGGGGACGTCGATATCCGTGGACTACCTGACAATCAGATCAGATCCAGAACTCCGTCGATTCGCGAAGGAATCTAGAAGCAAAAGCGCTTATCTCGGCAACGGCGAGATAATTGCTCTTCTTAAGATTATCGCAACGGGATAATCCTAAGGAACGGACACGGGTGATGCAGATCTGAAGAATCTCTCTCTCTTCCGTTGACGAACTCGATCAATCTTCAGTCCGGCAGGGCTTCGCCAATTCTCCAAAATTCCAGATCCAGAAAAATGAGGGCCTGAGGCTGTATTTATAGGCTAGGGGGGAGTTCGGGTGGTTGAAACTGCACAAAAGCCCGTTTTTAGGCCTGGAGACACCCCTGGGTGTCTCAGCGAGGCCGAGACACCTTGGGGTGTCTCGCTTGTGCCGAGACACCTCGGGGTGTCTCAACTCAGGCTGAGACGTTCTTTTCCGTACGCTTGTCCGTTTCCGCCGTAATTTCTTCGTCCGAACTCGGATTTGAGTGATTCAAAGTGCGTTGGAAAGTCGACGCGGAGTTCTATAAGCTCTGATGATTAGATCATTGTGGATTAAGCTGGGATAGGAGCGTCGTTTAGTCTTTTGTAAGTGATGCGGGACTCCCGATCAGTTCGTGTCTTCGTTATTCTGAAATTCCGTTACTTCACGTAGTTCGTCGATTCACTTCAAGCGTTCATCGACGTCAATCAAGATTCTGTGACTTGAATAGTGACGTTCCTCATCTCCTCTTAGCTTTGAGCTGCTCACGGAGATCTATAGGCAATTTTCGATGCCTACAGATACCCCCTCCAAAGCGTTCCAGACTGTTTTCTTTTATAGAAGAGTCTGGAATACTTTGGATGTGATTGGTCCAGCCTTCGATCGGTGTAAAGGACCTTTAATTAGCTTCAACTCTTGGCTCCTTCGATTTTCAGTCTATTCGATGCTTTGACGAATAGCTGAAGTCCTTCCGGCGCTGCGTTTATCGCTTGGCCGTCGTCGGAGTCTCGACTCTACAACCGGTGAGTTGGGTTTGGCTCGTATCACTGAATTGGCTTAGAACTGACTATTTTTGTCACATCGGCTTTTTCATTGCAACGCCTTGATTGGCGTTGACCTAGGGTTACGCGTTGATCGACGTTGACCTTAGGGTTTTGAACGTCGTACGTTGATTTTTGGTTACAACGCGTTAACTGACGTTGACCTAGGGTTACGCGTTGACCGGCGTTGACCTTAGGGTTTGAACGTCGCACGTTGACTTTTGGTTGCAACGCGTTGACTGGCGTTGACCTAGGGTTACGCGTTGACCGGCGTTGACCTTAGGGTTTAAATCGCCATACGTTAACCTTTGGTTGCAACGCGTTGACTGGCGTTGACCTAGGGTTACGTGTTGACCGGTGTTGACCTTAGGGTTTAAACGTCACACGTTGACTTTTGGTTGCAACGCGTTGACTGGCGTTGACCTAGGGTTACGCATTGACCGGCGTTGACCTTAGGGTTTAAATCGCCATACGTTGATTTTTGATTGCAACGCGTTGACTGCCGTTGACCTAG